AAGTCGTTGCGCTGCAAAAAAATCTAGAAAATGTACTCATTTTTCGAGGTTTCAAACGGGTATGCTCTCTTAAAAATAAAAATAAATTTGTATACTAACACCGACGAATGATTCAAGATTCATAGAGATAACATAGGCACTGGTAAATTCAATAGGTATCATACTGCGTGTCATAATTATTAACAAACTCCTTTTTACGTTATGATCCAAAGTAATCCATTCCATTTCGAACACATTACTAGCCAGTTGTTGACTCTATATTTAAGAATATGGGAAAGTAATTAAATAATTTTAGTTATAAAATGAGATAAATATTCAAATTGTACGCATTATTTTGCAGATTGATTCTGTATATCTATAGAAAAAATGAGGTAAAAAGACTTTTAAATAATGATCTTAAATAAAAATTAATTCTTGTAAACTACTATGCTTTAATATATCTCTGATGCAATAACGTTGCACTAAACGTAAAAATGTATATATAATATAAACAAATTCGATATGCCAGACAAAATAAAATATAAGAAAAGATAAAAAAAATCATGCATAAGAAAAGAAATATATTTTAAAAAGTGCACACCTTAAGCTTGACTTCGTTTCCGTACCAGCAATAAAAAGAGATTTGTGTCAGCATGCAACACATGTATAACATTATTTGAATATATTTCGCATTTATATCCATCTGTGTCAGTTGATGCAGATTAAAACACACTACCAACATACTCACTACAAATTGAACAGTGATGATAAATCTAAATTTTTTGTTTACCATAAACGCGAATCTAGAATCAATTGGACACATAACACTTTCAAACATCTTTAAAATTATTTTGCACATACGCACATGTACATATATGTATGTATGTGTATTTAATTGTAGAAGAAAATTTTTATTAATAAGAAAACTGACTTAGAGATATATATGTGCTGTATAACGCACTCGCGAAGGAAATGCGATTTGTTTATGATCTTCCTCAAGTGACACTTGAATATCTCTATTTGAGAACAGATATGCATTAATAATCCGCAAATGAGACTGTCGCAAGCGATGTGGAGGACCGATCCAACCGTCAAACTTATCGATTGATGCACATAAGCGATTCGAAATAGAATCGGTGAAGAATAATTAAATGGTAACCATGCTCTGAAAGATAATCTATCCTTTCTGTAATCTTTGAACACTGATGTTGCTACTGCAAACGCACACGTCAATTCGACTAGAGTCGCATAATAGAGTGTATTCATCCTGTAAAATAGTTGTAAGCATTTTTGAAATTCACTATTTAAAATTTTTAATAATCTTAACTTTTTACTTAATATAAGGTTGATAATTCTTTAATTTACCGTTAAATAAAAAATTTATTTTTAAAATGGTTGCACTATGTATATGGATTTTGTAAAAAATTTAATTGTATAGAATTTATTTAATATCTTCCATGAGTATGTATTTTTTTAATGTATTCTCTATATAATATAAGGTCTCTTAAAAGGTAATCCTCTATATAATACGTGATTACGTTTCATAATTTTACTAATCATTTTGCAATACGTACTGTACAAGTCTGTCGAATTTCTGTCGAATTTTTATTTCATCGAGTTCGACGGGCTTACATGGTTTCTTCATCAGAATATTGATCAACATCGCGATGTTGCTGCGATTTTTCAATAAACTAAACATCTTGCAGCAGGATACAATCATGGCAAGCGTCACGTAAAAATTGTCGGCGAAGTCGTCGGTGTTGTCGACATTCAGAATTATATCCATTAGTTGCGACAACATAAATGTATTTATTAACAAAACTATACAGACTGTGTATATATCATACATAATACGTTTGTATCGTGATGTCCACGAATTCGGTGGCCAACATCCGCAAATGGTAAGAACTTGAAATGTGAATGTAAGAACGCTCATTTTGTTCTTTTTTTTTATTTGTCCAATAATATATTATCAGAAAAAAATGTTATTATGCGAAAACGTCAGAAAATACTTTTGTATTATGTACTTAAATCTTATATTTCTTTATTTTAATATATCATTTTCAAAAAATCTAATATTTTATTCCGTTTATCTCATTTTTTCACATTTTTCACCATAATTTACGAAAACGTAATCCCCGGTTAATAAGATAAATAATACTACAAATTATACGATTGTAAAATAATCATGTATAACGAAATTTTAAGTTAAGAAATTGCCCGCACATCAAAAAATTTGTAAATCAAAATAATGAATTTTTAACGCACAATATGATATTATAATAATAATTATTATTATTAATTTGAAAATTATATGTAATGCATTATAATAATACAACAATTATTCTTTACAGCGCGATGAGCAAGAAAATTTCACTGACAATCGTAAAGAATCTATAGTCTTTTGCGATTCGATTTTTCATCTTCAATTTCCACTTATGCATTCGTGAATGCACTATATTATTACGATGATATAAAACTTTTGCATCGCAGAACGACATTTTCACGATCGTTTTAAAATGCATATCTTATACATAATGTGAAATGTAATGTTACATTTATGTCCACCTGTGCCTTACGGCTCAACGTAATGCGACAAGCAAACTATCAATTATGGTTTAGCCATATGAAATCTTGATGCAGACGACTTTATATACGTAGCTTTTAAATTATATTTAATTTATTGCTGCCATAAAGATGCAACATCGAACATCGCATTCTAATACTTATACATGTATATTGAATTCTTACATCGTCTATTGTTGCAGAAGTCAAAGAGAAAATATACAATTTATAATAAGTGGATAATCATTTATATTATTTTATCAACAAAATGCTTCGAAAGATATATCGAAAGATTGGAAAAAAACACGTACATTACTAAAAACAACATAAATTGCAGTAAGTAATAGCAGTATACAATATCAAGTTAATTTATTAAAATAATATATTTTTGTATTACTGCAAAAAAAAAATTGAAATTGTGGATATATTAAGGGTATGATCAAGTTTATCAGAGCATATATCAATATAAAAAAAAGTACATCATCGAGTATAACTATATAATAACTATAATCATAACTATAAAATAAATTAGATTGTATATATACATATATGTTAAACAATTTCGATGTATTTAGTAATAGCACATAATATTTAATTGAGTGCATGTGTGCGTATATGTGTATATATATATGCAATGTGTATATATTGCAAAAGATTTACAAAAGTTGGAACAAATCTACCAAATAAAATTAATTAATTTCAATAATTTTTTAATTATCTAACTATCTAACACATCTAATATATCTTGTTTTTTATCAATTTATGATATCAAGAAACTAACAGTCAATTATTCGTCGACCGAAGGTAACAACATTAGTAAAAATATTGATCTAATACTCCTCGGTGACAAGATGTGAACTCAAGTACCCATATGAATATGCCGATGCATATATTATATTTTTCTATAATTTTAACCGTATTCTTTTTAAGGAGTTTTATTTATTAACAGCGTTAATTAATTTTTTCACGTTTATACACACAGAAAAATATTATTCTATTGCTAAGTAAAATGATTACTCAGTTTACTTTACTTCTTTTAAGTAACAGTTAACTTTAACAAAGAATATTTTCTTAATAATAGTCTTAAAATAGACTTGTCACAAATTTTAGAAATACTCATTATCATGTACTCAAAAAAAGTAAATATTTTCTTTTGAAGAATATTATAAAATTTTATCGAAGAAAAGTCAGATATGGTTAATTTAATGTAAGAAAATTTATTAGATCAGAAAAATTTAATGTATTTCTTTCAATTATATAATTTAATATTCTTGATTGAAATATTAAATTTATTAGGATTCAGAATATATTTTGAATAAATTTGATGCTTATGATGAACTTATGATAGATTTGCGGATATATGAACTTTTGAAATACTTGAAACAAGTAATATTTACTTGTATATAGTATGTATTTTTCTGTGTGTAGGATCGTGCGATGATAGACGTACTGTCAGCTAATAGGTTTTCGCGAAGTGTCATATTATGAAAAATCACGATATCATTCGCAATATTGGTTTTAGCGTACAAAGAATGTTAAGAATGCCTTTTATATCTCATGGGATTTCGCTCAGAATTCTAATTAAAAAGCCGGAAAAGCGAAAAAATTTACTACTCTCGAAACATGAATATATTATATCATACAAAAAATTGTAATTTTCGAAACACAAAGGTCTATTCTTTTATAATTATTATATTTTTCTATATTTTTAAATGTGTTCTATCGAAATAGAAGAAGTTTTAATCATTAACAGCATTAATTAATTTTATATGATCGCTCAGTGATAGCGAATACTGTCCAACGCATCCTCTTTTTCGAATCTTTGTATTTTTATGGCTTATCTCTATTCTCTCAATTATTGTCTTTTTTACTCTAATTTTATTTAAAAATATTATATAACATATATTAATATAAAACATTATATTAATATAAAAAATATAACATATCTCTCTTACAATTAGTCTGATTCTTCCCCTTAGACCTGTCCGGTATGGATGACCCTACCGGTAACTTAACGTTTTCGAGTAAAGCAGGTTTTATCGCTTTGAGAGCGATTAAATCCAATTTGCCATGAATATACGTTCGACAAGACATGTGGCGCTTGTCGTTATGTTACTACCGAAACTATTACTTTCAGGAATCGCCAGGAAAACCTAGGATTAATTCCAATCCTGCAACGAAAATCCCTCATTTTCAACAAAGCCCCGAACTAGACGTCGCGGATGGATCTTACAAAAACCAACAAGAAATAATTCTCCACGATAAAGATTGTTTCGACTACTTGTCGGTACGAACCAGACAACTTCATTAACGTTCACCTGACGAGAGGGACAGCAATCGCGTTCAAGAACAAAAAGAATGGAAAAACGCGGAAAAAATATAATGTTCTTGCCGTGTAATTTATTAATTTATTTTACGAATATTTTATTATGATACGGAATTCATAAATACATCAATCTCTAGTTGAAAACAAATCATAAAATTTGTACTAATTTACTCGCGATTCTGTAATATCGAGGACAATCGTTTTTCGTGAATGAGAAGCTAATATTTAATCGTTAGTTTAACATCGAATCTTCACATTCTTATTCGATATTTTTAATACCAAAGAATTATATGTATTTGTAAAATTTGTAAAGTTTAAAATATATATAAAATATATATAAAGTTTCCCGATTTTATCAACGACTCTTTGATATGAAAACATACGGTTAAATTTATGTGTGTGAGAATATTTGTACAATATATACTTTATAAATAAATATATGTATATATGTTAATTGAACGAATTTCTATATATTGTCATTATACGTCTTTTGGTAATTTTTCGTGTAATTTACAAAAGAATACATTTTTCATATAATTTACATACAATTATAATAAATATAAAATAAGATTAATTTACATAATATTTATGCCATCATATTATAGACAATTTAATTGATTGATTATTTGATCTTTTTATATCAGTTAAAACAAAGTTTAAGAACAATATCTACAAACAAATTCTACGATATGGATGAGCTATAAGAAATTAGAATAAAATCGGCGCGCGTTATAAGAATGATTTACCACGTACATAATTGATAAAATTATTAGCGTTCTTATTCAATAAATCAGATAAAATCTACAAATTGAAAAAAATTTTTTCTATAATTTTCCTTCTTTAATTTAGACTTTAATTTATTATTGCATAAGATGCAATGCATATTAAAAGAATTTATTAAAAGTTATTCAACTTGATATGTTTTAATTCATCCATTTAAAAGTAACGGATTTATCTACAATCTACAATTTACAATCTACA